AAGTGGAGGCTTTAAAGAAGAGCCAGGTCAAAGAGTTAATGAAACTTGCTTCTAAGGAAACTTGCTTCTGCCTTAGCAGAAATTGAAAATTTGAAAAAGGAGGTCCACCTGTCTCAGAGCGAGGTGGCCTCTCTAACGAAGCGAGTGGAGACATCAGATAACCACCAGAGGATTGCTGCTGAGGCCCTGGAGTTGGCCAATAAAGAGAATGCTTCTTTGAAGCAGCAAGTGGAGGAGCTGAACTCCTATATTTCTGGCTTAGTGGAGGAGGTTGAGACGGTGAAGAGAGAGGTCGAACCTGCTGGTATTGAAGCAGAAAAGAGATACATTGCTAATTTCCACCTGACGGAAAAGTACAAAGTTTTGGGGATTACTGGCGGAGGCATGCCTATACTAAGATGGTGGAATGGATTGAGGCAAACCTTCAAGCTATCAATACGTTTGAACTAAGGTCAGAATTTTTGGAGGAGAGAGGTTAGCCACAAACGTCGGCAGAGGGGAGTCAGATTATTGAGATTGAGGATGAAGTCACAGAGGCAAAGGCTGATGTCCACGAAGTGGCACCCAATGCAATAATTTTATTTGCACCTCCCCCCCTATTTAGATAGGAGTTTATTTTTATTTTTTACATGTTACTTTGGCATCCGAGGCTCCCTATATACCATTTTTGTAACGATTAATGGAAATTTTTCCCTTTACGAGTTTGTACGTTTGTACATGTTCACTGACTTCATACTATAACTTCGTCTTATGCAAGTATTTTACTCTTTATTCAGCACTTACGAAGTGTTGGTGGTTCGGTTGTTTAGCTTACTTTGTTATATATCAGGTTGATCGTCGCATAGTGATAATAGCCTCTTTCCATACTTTGTCGATTAATAAAGTGGTCTACTTCAGGACTTAACTTAAAATAATAACATAACTCACAAAGTTAATGCCGAACTCGTTGAATTAATAAACTATTACAAGGTTGCATACAAAGTTTATTGAAAATACTTTCAAAGATGTTCCGCGGTCCATGGATGAGGTTGTACCTTTCCATCCAAGATTTTGATTCTGTAGGTACCAACTCAGACCTCTTCTTCCATGCAATAAGGTCCTTCCTAGTTTGGACCTAGGGTTTTGACCCCAGCCTCCTTTGTGAATAAAAACACTCTTCAAAGGATGAGGTCATTTATTCAGAATGCCTTTTTCTTAACCCTCGAGTTATAGTACCTCGTCATCTTTCTCTGGTAAATGGCCAATTTGGACTAGGATTCATCCCTCCATTCTTCAAGGAAGTCCAGTTCACATTTTCTTAACTCTTCGTTGGAGATTTCATTGAAGTATAGTCTTCTAGGTTTGCTCATCCCACTTCAATTAGACTCATTGCCTCGGCTACATAGGTCATGGAAGAAAAGGTTCGACCAGTGGCGATTTTGCTTGTAGTTCAGATAGCCTACAAGACCTGAGGTAGCTCATCAACCTATACACCTTTTGAGGCATCCAGCTTCCTTTTCAAGGTATATTTGATGGTCTTGTTAACAGCTTCAACTTGTCCATTTGCCTGGGGTGATGTGGGGAAGAAAAATGCTTCTTGATCCTCAGTTCGTCGCATAGGTTTCTGACCTTTTTGTTGTCTAATTGGCACCCATTGTCTGACACAATCAAGTGAGGAATCCTAAACCTGCAGATAATGTTCTTCCACAAGAATTTTGAAATATTTGCTTTGGTTTTCTTGGATAGAGATTCGGTTTCAAACCAATTGGTAAAATAATCAATTGACACAATAGAAAAACAGGTGTGCCTCATCCTTTAGGCATAGGTCCAATCAAATCAACGCCCCACTAGGCGAACGGTCAAGGGCTGATACAACATTGAGCTCCTGGGAAGGTTGTTGTTGGACAGCCGTGAAACATTGGCATTTATCACATCTCTTCACAAATTGTTGGGCGTCCTTTTTCGAGGTCGGCCAATATTATCCTTATCTCAGAACTTTTCGGGCTAGAGCCCATCCTCCAGAATGGTTGCCACACTTTCCTTCATGTATCTCTCTCAGAACATAAGTAGCTTGTTCTCCACCTACACACCGGAGTAGGGGCAAGGAGAAACCTAGTTCGTAAAGTACGCCATCTTGAAAAATAAAGTGTGTAGCCCGTCACCTCAATTTTCGGGCTTCCTCTTTGTTGAAGGACAGGAGTTGGCCTTGTTAAAAGGCAATGATTGGACCATCCATGTGGGGGTATCTTCTACTCACATCACATCTTGTTCCTTAGAAATTGAGGGTTGGGGGCTGAAAAAATTCAATCTATTGCAAATGCCCCATTTTTAATGAATGTATGAGAAAAGTACCATATCCCATACGATATTGAATTACTAGCTCCTTCCCCTGATGAGCGAGCCTATTATCCAAGGTCAGGTTGCATAGCCATTAATGAGTTCATTGGAATTACCTCTCCTATATTGAGGGCTTCCACAGGCAGTTGGGACTATTCCGTTCGCTGCTATGTTTGTTCAGCTCTCCTTTCTAACATATTTCTAGGTGGGGGTTGGCATTTCCTCCCATAGGCTCATTGGGCACTCCCAATCGAGGCCCTTTTGCTGCCTATCCCTAGGCGTCGGATGTCGATCACACCTATTACTAAGTTGTCCTGGGCTTAGTCTGTCAAAAACACTTATTGACCTTCTAGCCGAATTTCCTGGGTTGTATTACGTGGAAAATTGAGGGGGACTTCGGAGTATTGGTTCGAAGAGTAATTTGTTGAGGTATCTACTCCCACTTCTCTCTCCTGGGGGTCATCTTCCCTTGGGTATCACTAATATTCGATTCCCTGGCTATGAACCTCATCGTCTCCTCCATAATAATTTGGGGAGCATATGGTGGGATTGAATATCCTCCTTGGCCTTGCATGCTTCTTAGCAGCTCATGCGTAGCAAGATTCTTCTAAGTAATCTTTCTCATATTCTCAGCCATAGTGGTCAGTGCCTTAGTGAACCTAGCAATCAATCAAGAAGCTCCTCGAGTCCTGCCGCATGAGCCACCTTGTCTACTTAGTTGTTGAAATTGGTGGGGGGATGTTGGGACAGTGTGCGAGGGTTCCCTTTCTTCAAAATGTTCCTTCATTCTTCGAGGAGCAGGTTCTTCTTCGCTAGTACTCATGCTATCTTTCAAATATCTTTTTTAGGTGCATGATTGCTATTTTCAGGGTGTGTACGCTGCACTCCCCTTGCCTTTCCCTAGTGATCCTTTTTTCAAGGATATTTCATTTTGCTCAAAGGTTCTCTTTCTTGACCTTTTCTGAAAAATTAAGATTTCCTTACTTTATCTACAAGATTCTCATAGTTTAGCTGTTCCAAGTTTTCCACAAACGGCGTCAATCTGTTGACCTCATAAAATGGCCAACATGTATCATTAGGAGATATTGTGCACATGAGCGTATTTCACAGTGTGTAAGCTGTAAATAGTATAGTGTATTTATAGAAAAAGATAAACAATCGGCAATAGACATATATAGTATTCCCCCCTTTTGTGATTAAAAAAAACCCCCCCTTTTAAATGATACAAGAATTACTTATAAATATCAGGTCGACGTGGCCACTGTTCGATTGGATCCACGTAGCCTGATCTGCCTACCCTTAGTGTCACATCAACTATATTCCATATTAATTACATTGATAGACTTCTGACAAGAGGTCACCCATCCTACAAACCTAGGTTTACATTCCTGACACTCATTAAATGGGTGCGTCACATCAGTCAACTCTAAAGAAGTACTTGCCCGACCCTCTTTTGGTTGTCAAGGACTTCGGATACTCAAGGAGTTCAGTAGTAAAAGGTAAACCACCGTGGAACATCTTAGTGAAACGACCTCGGCGCTCCATATGACAACTTCGGATATTGATCCCTTCCACAGCAATTCTTAGATGCTTGCCACGTGTATGAATGTGAGGTCTCCACATAGGCCATTCTATATGATCAGCAATACTCTTCTCAATTGAAATTACTTCTAACTTCTCAAAAACTCAAAAAATATTTTTAAATTGGGAGAAAGGAGTACCTAGATATCAATATAGTTGAATTGATTTTGAGTTTAAAAAATGGATTGAATGGTTCAATTTATATAATTTCGAGCATATACTCTGAATTAAAACGTCTTTTGCCTCGGATTGATATGAAAACAGTTTTTAACGACTAAATTGATTTGATCGTTAAAATATTGGTTGTAAAATATCATTTTTTCTATAGTGGGTTACACTGATAGTCGAATGTTATTTTCATGCTTTTCGTTAACTTGGTTGGGTGGAGTGGAGTGGATATACCCGATTTTTGAAAACAAAAATAATTACTACCTTTTTAATAAAATTAAAAATTTAAGGAAAAATTCATATATGCCTTATATATATATATATATATATATATATTATTTAATCTTATACTACTAAAAATCATTATAATCTGAAATTACGAAGACCAATATTACCACGTATGAAACTTTCCTTTCTGTGCCCGTAATTGAAGTAATCAAATACAGAGAGAAACAGATTGGCATTACTATTACAATTTCAAATCGCAGGGCAAAATCATAAGCTGGTCACATGGATATTCAAATTCAAAATGATTTCTCTGGCTCCATTACTATTAAAATTTCAAATCGCAAGGCCAATAATCTTTTTCTCTGTGATTCTTGCTTGAGGAATTTTTTCAATTTACAAGATGTCGATTTCGATTACTGGTTTGGTTATCTTCCAAAAATTTTGAAAGACTGAATACAGGTAATTGTTCCATCACTCTACGTAAACCTAATCTATTGCTATGATGTGTATTATGAATGTTGTATTTCCGTTTGTAAATTCCATTTTTTTCTTTCAATATTTGGTGTTGATTTTGTGTTTAATTGTCCGGTAGCCATCGAATTTTCATGATTTGTTATGTAATCCAGTAATACTGGATTACATAAAATTGACTCAATTCAACATCTCTACTTATAATACTACTAAAATTTTGCATTCTTTATATTTTTCACTCTAGTTTGTTGAAATACCAAATATAATCCGTATGGGGAGTGGGTACTTATATGGCCGTGAGGGCTACAAAGACAATGAGTACCAAGGAAGAAGTCGAGGCTTTGACCAGTATGGGTCAAGAAGTAGAAGCACTGATCGAGATATGGACAGCACATATGAAGATGATGGCAAATATTCTTCTAGGTTTGCCTATATTCTATTTTCATAAAGTAAAACATGTGGTGAATTCTTCATGATACTTTTTCTTTATTTTTACAGTAATTTTTCTCAAAAAATATGTTCTTATTTTGCTGATTTTTATGATTAAGTGGATTACTAGATAATTTCAGAAACATAATGGTTTATGCTTATTTTTTATGAGGTTTAAAAAATTTGAAAAGAACAAAATCATGCATTCTTGCCTCATCGCATAGATCAATTTTGGCAAGGGACGGTTCTAATGCTTAACTAACTTCTACCATATTTCTTTGAAATTTCTGACAGTAATGCACATGAGACATTGACACGGCTTGCGTCGAAACTGGAGAAATTGCTAAGAACGAATGCAAAGCCCTCGTTGAAACTTATGGTAAATATATGAATATTACTCCATGTTTGTAGCTTGAGATTTATTTATAACATGATCCATTGAATTACTTTTTCAATAGTTGCCCGTTATCCTTGATGAATCATTCAACAGATGTACTACTTCCAAATTAGTTGTCAATATTTTTATTAAATATCAAACTAGTGAATTTTTCTACCATGTATAGTTATATTTACATTTAAAAATTATAACCTTTATGCACTGCAATTATAGTACGATAAGTTGGCATAAAGTAATGTACTATCTCTGACTTAAAGATCGTGTGTAGTACGTATTCACATCAAATGATTTCTTGTATCAAGTGTCAGATGAGATGATGCAACATGTTGTTGATTTGACATTGATGACATGCACGCGCTATTATTTCTAGTTGGATGGGATTCTACATCATTAGCTGTAATTGGGAATAGATGCGATCTACTGTACAATTACTTTTCAACGTATCACACGAAAGACTATTATGTGAATTTTTACGCTGGGAATATCATACCACTCGAAGATCATGCACAATGGAAAGTAGATAATTATTGGTTTCGTGACTATATTTTGCCTACTAGATTGAAGAGGCAACAAGGCAAGCCAAAGAAGATGAGGAGAAGATCAAGGTGGAATTTTTACAATCAACTAGTTCTGGAAGATATGAAACTATGGGACACAATATGAGAATGTGTAAGCAATCTCAGCCACTTAACGATGTACAGAAGCGAAAAACGATGATCTAATGACTAAATGATGATGCAAAACTCATTTACCATGTCATCACGCATTCGCTAGAGACTATTAATTTAGGTTGCTAAATGTCTATGCTTAACATTCTATGTTGTGTAATCGATTATATTATAAATTGGATGATTCTCGTGCATTTATATTATTTTACCAGAGAGTATGTTATATAGAAATGTTACTGTACTAATGCACAGTACACAGATTGTTGTTAATCAATTGCTATTCTATCTGTAAATGCTATATTGTGTATAGTTATTACTTTTTGATCAAAATGATGAGAATTAGTCTACACGTACAACCTCTTCCTACCGAATTTGTTACATTATGCTGACGTGGCTGAAATTAAGCTGTAAATAGTATAGTGTATTTATAGAAAAAGATAAACAATCGGCAATAGACATATATAGTATTCCCCCCTTTTGTGATTAAAAAAAACCCCCCCTTTTAAATGATACAAGAATTACTTATAAATATCAGGTCGACGTGGCCACTGTTCGATTGGATCCACGTAGCCTGATCTGCCTACCCTTAGTGTCACATCAACTATATTCCATATTAATTACATTGATAGACTTTTGACAAGAGGTCACCCATCCTACAAACCTAGGTTTACATTCCTGACACTCATTAAATGGGTGCGTCACATCAGTCAACTCTAAAGAAGTACTTGCCCGACCCTCTTTTGGTTGTCAAGGACTTCGGATACTCAAGGAGTTCAGTAGTAAAAGGTAAACCACCGTGGAAGATCTTAGTGAAACGACCTCGGCGCTCCATATGACAACTTCGGATATTGATCCCTTCCACAGCAATTCTTAGATGCTTGCCACGTGTATGAATGTGAGGTCTCCACATAGGCCATTCTATATGATCAGCAATACTCTTCTCAATTGAAATTACTTCTAACTTCTCAAAAACTCAAAAAATATTTTTAAATTGGGAGAAAGGAGTACCTAGATATCAATATAGTTGAATTGATTTTGAGTTTAAAAAATGGATTGAATGGTTCAATTTATATAATTTCGAGCATATACTCTGAATTAAAACGTCTTTTGCCTCGGATTGATATGAAAACAGTTTTTAACGACTAAATTGATTTGATCGTTAAAATATTGGTTGTAAAATATCATTTTTTCTATAGTGGGTTACACTGATAGTCGAATGTTATTTTCATGCTTTTCGTTAACTTGGTTGGGTGGAGTGGAGTGGATATACCCGATTTTTGAAAACAAAAATAATTACTACCTTTTTAATAAAATTAAAAATTTAAGGAAAAATTCATATATGCCTTATATATATATATATATATATATATATTATTTAATCTTATACTACTAAAAATCATTATAATCTGAAATTACGAAGACCAATATTACCACGTATGAAACTTTCCTTTCTGTGCCCGTAATTGAAGTAATCAAATACAGAGAGAAACAGATTGGCATTACTATTACAATTTCAAATCGCAGGGCAAAATCATAAGCTGGTCACATGGATATTCAAATTCAAAATGATTTCTCTGGCTCCATTACTATTAAAATTTCAAATCGCAAGGCCAATAATCTTTTTCTCTGTGATTCTTGCTTGAGGAATTTTTTCAATTTACAAGATGTCGATTTCGATTACTGGTTTGGTTATCTTCCAAAAATTTTGAAAGACTGAATACAGGTAATTGTTCCATCACTCTACGTAAACCTAATCTATTGCTATGATGTGTATTATGAATGTTGTATTTCCGTTTGTAAATTCCATTTTTTTCTTTCAATATTTGGTGTTGATTTTGTGTTTAATTGTCCGGTAGCCATCGAATTTTCATGATTTGTTATGTAATCCAGTAATACTGGATTACATAAAATTGACTCAATTCAACATCTCTACTTATAATACTACTAAAATTTTGCATTCTTTATATTTTTCACTCTAGTTTGTTGAAATACCAAATATAATCCGTATGGGGAGTGGGTACTTATATGGCCGTGAGGGCTACAAAGACAATGAGTACCAAGGAAGAAGTCGAGGCTTTGACCAGTATGGGTCAAGAAGTAGAAGCACTGATCGAGATATGGACAGCACATATGAAGATGATGGCAAATATTCTTCTAGGTTTGCCTATATTCTATTTTCATAAAGTAAAACATGTGGTGAATTCTTCATGATACTTTTTCTTTATTTTTACAGTAATTTTTCTCAAAAAATATGTTCTTATTTTGCTGATTTTTATGATTAAGTGGATTACTAGATAATTTCATAAACATAATGGTTTATGCTTATTTTTTATGAGGTTTAAAAAATTTGAAAAGAACAAAATCATGCATTCTTGCCTCATCGCATAGATCAATTTTGGCAAGGGACGGTTCTAATGCTTAACTAACTTCTACCATATTTCTTTGAAATTTCTGACAGTAATGCACATGAGACATTGACACGGCTTGCGTCGAAACTGGAGAAATTGCTAAGAACGAATGCAAAGCCCTCGTTGAAACTTATGGTAAATATATGAATATTACTCCATGTTTGTAGCTTGAGATTTATTTATAACATGATCCATTGAATTACTTTTTCAATAGTTGCCCGTTATCCTTGATGAATCATTCAACAGATGTACTACTTCCAAATTAGTTGTCAATATTTTTATTAAATATCAAACTAGTGAATTTTTCTACCATGTATAGTTATATTTACATTTAAAAATTATAACCTTTATGCACTGCAATTATAGTACGATAAGTTGGCATAAAGTAATGTACTATCTCTGACTTAAAGATCGTGTGTAGTACGTATTCACATCAAATGATTTCTTGTATCAAGTGTCAGATGAGATGATGCAACATGTTGTTGATTTGACATTGATGACATGCACGCGCTATTATTTCTAGTTGGATGGGATTCTACATCATTAGCTGTAATTGGGAATAGATGCGATCTACTGTACAATTACTTTTCAACGTATCACACGAAAGACTATTATGTGAATTTTTACGCTGGGAATATCATACCACTCGAAGATCATGCACAATGGAAAGTAGATAATTATTGGTTTCGTGACTATATTTTGCCTACTAGATTGAAGAGGCAACAAGGCAAGCCAAAGAAGATGAGGAGAAGATCAAGGTGGAATTTTTACAATCAACTAGTTCTGGAAGATATGAAACTATGGGACACAATATGAGAATGTGTAAGCAATCTCAGCCAATTAACGATGTACAGAAGCGAAAAACGATGATCTAATGACTAAATGATGATGCAAAACTCATTTACCATGTCATCACGCATTCGCTAGAGACTATTAATTTAGGTTGCTAAATGTCTATGCTTAACATTCTATGTTGTGTAATCGATTATATTATAAATTGGATGATTCTCGTGCATTTATATTATTTTACCAGAGAGTATGTTATACAGAAATGTTACTGTACTAATGCACAGTACACAGATTGTTGTTAATCAATTGCTATTCTATCTGTAAATGCTATATTGTGTATAGTTATTACTTTTTGATCAAAATGATGAGAATTAGTCTACACGTACAACCTCTTCCTACCGAATTTGTTACATTATGCTGACGTGGCTGAAATGGAAAAAAAAGAACACGTTGTCGGACAAATGAATTTCCCCGCCATTTAACATTTGCGAGACATTTTTCCCCAAATCGTACTTTTTCCCAAATCCTTCACCGCTGCCGACAAATGGAACGACGGGAAAATCGACGACAGCACTGACATGGACATCGGAGACATACGATGACGAATGATGCGTTATTGTTCCCATCATTTGCGGTGGACCCTAAAGCCAGCTATAATGGAGATGAAGTCAAAATGGAAGTCAGCAACTCCAACGGTGACCACTCCAACGATGGCAACAACACAGGTAACTGATTAAAGATGTTGTTTGCACATTTCTCAAAAGGTAGCAGATTATGTTTTTCCCAAAAATCCCCTATGAATTAGAGTAGCAAAGGGCTAATTAATTTTTTTGTTTGCATTTGTTAGTTTTTGCCATGAATTAGAGTAGCAAATGGCTCATTAATTTTTCTGTTTGCATTTGTTAGTTTTTACTATGAAAGAATGTTCAGCTCACTTGAAAGAAAACTCGTTCAGCATTTTTGTGAAGTATTCAGAGTAATAATACTCAATTAAGGACCTCAAAAGGTACTTTTAATAAGCAGGAGCTGAATGTGCTCTTACACCATTCATCCTCTAAAGTATTAACCTTTCATTAACCTTTTAATAAGCAGGAACTAAAAAGAACGGGCTCTTACAATACTTCTTGCATTGATCAGCATTTTTCATTAAGAAAATTATCATAATTTTATCTCCATGGATCAAGAAGTAAAGAAAAATGCTATCAAGTCTTTTTTGAAGTTTCCATGCATCATAGATATTAAAATAATTGAATAATTGAAATATTTAAGCAGAGAAAATGGCCACCAAATGTTTATTAAGAACTATGTACATTTGTCTCAGCTATGAGAATTGATTTTGTTTTTCGTTTGTAAATGCAGGATATCTAGAAATTCTAGATTCCGAAGATGACAGTCCGAAGGATAACAACTTTTAGGAAGAGACTGAGATTATCCTGCCTTATGTTGGAATGAAATTTAACGATGAAAATGAGGTATTTGAATTTTACAAGAACTGTGCATTCCTAATCGGTTTTCCCATTAGAATAAGGAAGTCAAAGAGAGGTGACGACGGGGTTGTCCGTTACGTAACTTTTACGTGCAGCCGAGAAGGCTGTTGAACTAGTGGTAAGCCTCAACCAACCATCCAAACTGGGTGTAAAGCGAGACTGACAGTATGTTCTAAACTAAATGGAAAGTGGCGTATTAACACTCTCCACCTAGAGCACAATCACAAAACAAGCCCATCAAAATCAAGGTTGTATTGTTGCAATCGCGAGATTAGCGTACGTGTGAAATGACAGCTCAAAATAAATGATATTGCTAGTATACCGTAGCACAAGAGTTTTAACTCAGCAGTAGTTAAGGCTGGTGGTTATAGCAATATAACATGTGTCGAGAAATTTCATTGATAAGGTTCATCGATTATGACTTGATGAAGGAGATATTGTTGCTATACATGCGTATTTCTCGAAGATGCAAACAACCAGTCCTAGTTTCTAATTTAGTATAGACTTGGATGTTGATGCCCGTCTGAAGAACATTTTTTGGGCTGATAATAGGTGTAGAGAAGCATGTAAGGAGTTCGAGGAAGTAGTGGCATTTGACACCACATATTTGACTAACAAGTATGATACGCCATTCGCTCCATTTACTGGGGTGACACATCATGGGCAGCCAACTCTCCTTGAATGTGGATTGGTTTCGAATGAAGATACAACGACCTTCGTATGGCTTTTTAGGACATGGCTGGAATGTATGCATGGTATAGCTCCAAGTGGAATTATTACGTATCAAGATCGAGCTATGCAGAATGCAGTTGAAATTGCCTTTTCGAATACAAAGCACAGATGGTGTTTGTGGCACATTTTAAAGAAGTTCCCAGAGAAATTTGGCAACCATAGACACAAAGCTTCTATTCTTTCCACAGTTCACAATTGGTATACGATGTACAGGGATGTGAGGAGTTCGAGCAAGGTTGGTATACACCGTCTAATTAACACCTTTTTTTTTTGTTTTCTCCTCATCATCTAGATCTCGTTTCTCTTTGTGAGGAATTATATTGAGATAAATCTCCAATTGGTCATTTTCGTCGGCTACATTAACGCATTTTTGGAACACACTTGACAAGTCCATAGTTGGTTCGCTGAACTTATATGATCCTGAAGAAGAGCAATTTGATTTACCTTCGTAATGCACTAGTTCATCGTCATATGGCACAACATCAAACTCTGGAATATAAAACAGTTGAATACAACATTATTTTCAATTGAACACGACATTATTTTCAAGATCTCGAGTTCTAAAGAAGAATCATTCAATGAGCCGGCATTTCCCTATACAAATTATTTTCAAACAAATCAGTTGTCTTTTGATTCTATGAGCATTGAAAAAAATTGATATAGAATATATATCAACAATTGAATAACTGAGAACTAAGAAGACAATATAAAATTGGTAGACAAAATGCAAATCATTTCAGGAAAAAGTTAATGAGAGAGAGACCGTAGTACTTGTTCTTGATTAAGGCAAAAAATGCATATAGAATATATATCAACACTACGACATATAGTAGCTTATAGATGTTTGGAAATATCACATACCGTACAATTGATTTCGAGAATTTCAGACACTGACGGTTTGGAAAAGTTGAGACCGTAGCACCGACAGTTTGCAGAGACGGCAGCATCGGTAGTTTCGAAACTTTTAGATGGTAGCACCGACGGGGTTTGGAAATTTTTAGATTCAGATGTTTATGTTCAGATAATGAGAGAGATACACACCGTCAGTTTGAGAAACAATAGTGATAAATATGAGTGGTTGGGTTGAGTGGTTAGGTGAATAATAAATGATGGGAGAGAAAGAAGTGGGTCTGGTGGATAATAATGATGGGAGAAAAACAAAGTGGGTATGACCGTTTGACCCCTTTTTTTGAATTCAAAATATCGCCACGTGTTCATACTGTAAAAATTCTGGCATGGCTGATGTACATATAGAATTTTCCAAATGATGAATTTCTTGACATAGTAAAGTTTTATTTGGCTTGCTGGAACCAATAAATCCAATTAGAATGACTCATATTCCTTCAAGCAAATTATGGGGTTACACATTTCTTTGAATTTGATGGTCACATTAGAATTCACATGGATACAATATTGGTTTACTTATTAAACAAGGACGGTTAGGTGCATGTTCGAGTATTTCAATAGTAGTATAGTGATTTATGGAAAGTAGTGTTGGTTGTGGTGGCACGGAAGGAGCTGGAGCTGGCTCATGGTCGAGGCCATGGCAGTTTTTGTGCAATTGTGATTTGGAGTCCAATCAAAATCCCTTGCAAAAAATGATTTGAGCGATACATGGGTAGAGAGAGCAAACTACATATGTAAAATACTATCAAATGCAATGAGTAGCCATGAAAATTTTTCAAAAAAATTGCCTTATTAAAATCAGGTTTCTCGGAGCAATGCAACCAGACATTTGAATAATGACATTTGATGCATAACAACATGCTTTTACACAATCTTCAATGGGATTCTCTTGAACCGAGATAGAAATCCTCAAAGAAGGCGTCCCCCAGAACAAAAGTAAATGCAAAGTAATCAGATTCAGTCAAATCAATTAGGTACAAATGCTAAGATTTGAGACGAGATAACACCAGTAGCTCATCGAATGAGAAGCGTGAGTATGATGAAATCTCTAAGTCTATTCCTTCATTCAAACAATAAAGCTACTAGAATGAACCTTTCCATTCTAGGAAAAATTCTTTGAACCATATACACTTTTCATGAATGTGTGATTAGTTCTGAGAAAAAACTAACATAATTCAATATTTGGGATACTCTACAACATTTGTATTAACGAGTTTCTCCTGTGGCAATCGAATTACAGGGAACAACTTTACTTTTCCATCCTCTGTAATATCAAGATATATACCCTGAGTAATAACTGTAACTCTTTTGTGTGTTCCAAATGCCTTTGGCCACTGAGAGATTTTCAAAGCTATTTCCTCAACATTTGCAGTCTAGTCATTAACAGCTACCAATTGTTAATTACATTACAAAGTAATGTGTCATTTTTTGTTTCTATAATCACCAATAAGACTTTGTGAAGCCGGCCTGTTTTATTTAGAACTTGGAATGGTGTATGTACCTTTCTCTCTTGTGTTTTATATAACACACAACAAAATCACATGATGCCAAGATTGCAATTCGGCTATATGATTTTTTTGAATAAAAAAGGTTTTGACACAGATTGAGATACGATTTGTAAATAGCACATTCAAGATCATTGTGTTTCGAATCTTGACTTTTGGGCAAACTATGGCAATGGTGACGGGAAGATTGGGGATTGTTGGGGCAAGATTTAGGGGGTGTGAGATGTGGCATCTTTGGTGGAATAATTTTAGCTTGTAAAATGTGTAAATTATGGGATTGATTGGATATTTTGCATTTTTTGCTTATACTTCATATTTTGTAGTATATTTGGAAAAAAATAAATATTGTATTTTAAAAAAGAATCCTTAATATAATTAGTGTAGCTGGTGAAATTCCACAAAATATAAAAATAGGATTTGATGTAATTTTCCTTTGTGGAAATTACATAAAATCATAGTTTAACTATTCATAGTTCCCAAATTAGAGTGGAAGTTTAAAATTTCAGTAATCAGATTTTTTTTCATTTATTAATTATTTTAAAATTATTTAATAACTATTTTCCGTAAATTCACGTCTTTAAAATTTTGGAAACTCTATATTCATTAAAACCTCCCAACACATCCTTTCCATAAAATCCACGTTCCCTCACGTATCCATATTTTACGATTACCACCGTCGTTCATCCAAGCCATATTCTGTCATTCACCCCTGTTCATTCTCCAACGATTCCCTGTCGACCTTCATCCACTTTCGTGTTTATGTATATTTTATAGGTTCCTTCCAAAAAAAAAAAAGGTGGTCACAGTTGAACCACAATCTTCTAAAATTTCAAGAATGACTCGTTTAAGGAGTGATAAACGAAGGGAGAAAATTGGACTCCGTGAGTCAGGAAGAAGAGGTAAAAGGAAGGTTGATGAAGTGCAGAAGGATCCATCCTCTAAAAGGCACAAATCCGAACTATCGGTCACAAAATCGCCCGCGAAGAAGGTGTGTTTTCAATTTTTCAATTGTTCATTTATTTCGAGCATACCTATGTACATTTTAATCGATGGGTAATGTCTATGGATGAAGTATTTTGAATTTGTGAGGTATATTTCATTGATTTTGTTGTGTGTATTTGTAATCGAAATACTGAAATCTAGAAAGGGTTTTTAATGCTGTCTTCAAAAGTGTTGTTCATTTGTGAATTATGGAACGATATTGTGTCGTTTTCTATGTGTGTTGTTGATTTCTAATCTGTTGGAAGGGACTTGCGACCTATATGTTGATGTTGTGTCTACCTGGATTCTTATCTGTGACCAACTAATGCGTTTTATTGTGACCGATGTTGCAGGCCTAGAGATATACTATACCCGAGAAGAGTTGGTTTTCGGGTAAAATTACAATTACCCAGGTGAAAGGTGTGCTGTCAAATTTCAAAAACAATCTCAATGAAGCCCAATGTTGAATCCTTCAGAATTTGTGTTTCTCCCACTTCTTGGAATGCGAGGAAATTATTGTCCAATCTTAGCTGATACGCTACTTTCTGTTGGGGCAGGTGCAACAACCTAATGACAGTGAGATGTGGTTCAACATAGCTGGAAGATTTGTAAGGTTCTCAATTTTAGAGTTTTGTTTAGTAACTGGGCTGAGAAACGTTAGCGATGCTGATACAAGTAGGATGGATAAGACTCCATCACATTTGAAAATTTTGTATTTTCCAACATTGAAAAATGTTACTCATGAAGATGTCAAAGAAGCATTTCTTGGTGCGACTGACATTCCGGATGAGGATGTTTGATGCATTGTATTTCATAACGTCTTATCTATATTCGAGAGACTAAAAGAAGACTATGGATCACTTCTTGTTTGTACTAGTTGAAGATTTTAATGCGATGAGTGTGTTTCCATGGGGTGAGTCACTGTTTAACAGGCTAGTAAGTTCATTGAAGGAGGGGTTGAGTAAGAGAACAACACATTATAGACTCGAAAGCTTGCTCATAGCCTTTCAAGTGTGGATTTACGAGACAATTCCCAGTCTCGATGGATACACAGCGAGAAGGATATCCAAAGCGTACCCCCGTATAATGAACTGAGCGACTAATGATCACCCTTCGACTGCGAAGCTCGAGGGGCCTGAATACTTCTCCAATCCAGATGTAGGTGACCACTAATGCAGCACTATTGTTTTTGAAATATGTGGAGTTGCACATTTTGTCATGTTCTAGATCATATTACTTAGGTCACAAATAAATTTCGACGAATTGAGTAATTATTTCAAAGGATAGGTATCTAATCTCCAATCGGAGAATCGGTTGCTAGGCAACAGTTTTAGGCTATGCAGTCACATGTATCATCTTTGAAGTCTGATTAGCAAAAAAAAATTGAAGCTTGTTGTTCGCATGCAAGGTGAAATCCATACCAACATGTTGGATATCAAATTGCACATGCAGTGTATGTCCAATTCCATGACTGCATTGATATCTAGTTCAATGGAAGAAATTATGAACAAATTCAGAGAAAACTAAAGATCACAAGCTGTTGAAGGATCTGGACTAAGATGCGAAGCCAGTATCCCATCTGTGACTGCCTCTTATTTGGCTGTTACCACAAACTGTTTGACATACACTTCTCATCAAATGCATTTTTTGTGCTGATTTTCAGGCTGCAAACGTCGAAAAAAGT